TGGATTTTGCCAAATAATTTGGTGTTGATATAGTTTTATGACAAGCGTCTATTATAACCTTATATCCGTTAACTATATACTTTGCCGAACGTATATAGGTATTTAAATATGAAAAAATACAAATAAGCGACGACGTTTGTCGACGCAAATCCGTATGTTTGCTATTTCCACTAATATAATGCTCTGGTCCTATGACTGGTATTAAAACATAATATGATAAATTACATATTCGTCGTCCATGCTAATTTATTTTATTGTTTTTGTACCAATTTATTATAATATCATATTATAAATTATTACCATTCGTATCAGAAACACATCCATAATTCATAATGTGGTTAGGTATACTATTATTATAAGGGTTTTGAAATTAATGTTATGTTTAAATTATTCTAACTCCATAATTAGAAAAAAAAAACACAAATATAACAGTGAATTCCAATATTAATAAATTATTTCGAATGTGCTTTCAGTTTATTTTATAATATATTCAAAAGTGAAAATTGAAGACCCCCGAGAGTGTTTTGTTACAAAGCATTCATTTTTCAGACATAATTTCTTTTACGTATTTTCAAGTGAACATAATTAATTAATTTTATTACCATCAATCATGATCCCAATGTTTACGTTTCAATGTTATCAACTTTTTCCATGGTGTTTTACGTTTTTTTTTTATTAAGTTTAAATATTTAGCCACCGTATTCAGAATGAATAATTATAATTTTAATAATTCTTTTAATTTGAATAACATATGATTATAAATATGTAATTGTATAGCATTGTATGTATTTGTTGAAACACATTTCGATTGAAAAAATAATAATATTTACTTCGTATTATAATTCTATATTTGTGGTTTAATATCTTTCTATAAACAGTTGATTGCATATTATTTAATTTTATAAAAAATGTTGGTATTTTTTGACCAAGTGAAAGTTAGTTAAAACAAAATGTAATTCCACACTGTTAACCTCTTTTTATCAGAATGTCCAAAACCGTTTTAATAATATTACTCCTTTCACACTATCGATAAACATATCGATCACTTTAAATATCACTTATTTTGTCTCCAAAATATGGTGGTCAAGCCCGTTTAGTCTAATAATGCTGTACAGGTCACAGAAGTCGAATCAGTAGATTAAAATGACTCTACAAAACTCAAATAACAGTGTAACAAGTAAGAGTGTGTTATGGTGCAATACATTTATTATTACTAGCTTAAAACTACCTATAATACTTTGGCGCTCCGTCTTGGCGAGGATGAAAAGTGCGTTGGCGAGTACGTATATTATGATCGTTTTTTTTCCGGTTCTTTTTGTCGTACATCCGTACATTTTGGTGCGATATATCATTCGCAGTAAGTCGCCTTAGTAATAATATTTGCAACCCAGTCACGGCCGCATAAGAAATTGCGGGCTGGGTTGAACACGTTTCGAGTATTTAATACATTTCGGTTAGGTTAGTTTGATTTTCATTGCATCGCCGCCGTTGATTAACTACTTGCACGTCGTCGTCGGTAGTAGTGCCTCTATTGTCTGGTTTTTCGTAAGACATATTATTATCATGATGTATGTATATTATATTTTAGCGCTCTATAAATATAATTTTCTCGTTGATTTTTCTAGGGGAGCAATTAGTTATTCGAAAAACACCCAACGTCTATTTTTATATTATATATGTGGCTATATTATATCCGTAATGTTTGACACGAAATCACGAACATCAAAACATGAATTTATATTATGAGTAACGGTGTTAATGCAAACCGTCATATTATGGATAATATAAAAATTAACGATATGTATGTCCAACTAAAGGCAGCCCAACATTTTTACCTCGACGGGACAGACTTTGGCCACTTTATAGACTTTCACGGTACACATATATAAATAAATATATCTATACATATTATAGTACACCACTTCATTACCTATTAGAGAACTGTGAACCATGATAAACTACGAGGTGCCTCTAACGGTTATCGGGGAACAATAACAATCAACTTAAATATAACCAATTACCAAAATGTCCAAGATAATGTTGTAATATTATACTGTGCAATATTATAATGTTTAACACACATAATAAATAGTCAAAGATTACGCGACACACCCAAAGTGAAGCACAGACGTTGGGAATCCCTGGCACTCAAACTTATAATATAGTTGCGGCTAGACACTGGTGACGGCGTCTAAAGATTACAATATACTTAAGTGGTGCAAACTCAAAATTATTTTGTTGTACACTATTTTATCACATCTTTCTTGAGATAACAAAATTAAATTATTTTTTCACGACGTCTGTACACGATCACTTTTTGTATTTTTTTATTTATTTTCTTCAAATTTTGATAAATGACCTGCTGGAAATAACTTAAGACTTTTTGTTTGTTTCTTTATTAATTAAAATAAAAACTTTTATCCTAATTTAATTTGTTTAGTAAATTACACAGTCCAGTGACATGAATCAAATGATGAAAATGTTTTAATGCCATTAAAAATGTAAAATAAAACTTTTTTTTTCGTAATAATCAAATTAAGTCTAATGTACGTGCATCGCCATTACACCTCGTTAGGACCAGCGATTTTTCAGGGCAAAATTTAATCAAAATTCTACCATGAAAAACTTAAAATAATAATAACAATTTATGTATAATTCGAAATTATTATTTTCTCTTAATCGTGTAATGCTTAAACGTTTATGAGTTTGTATCTTTCTTTTATAATAAATTATCTTAAAAAAGGATTTTAAAAATCATAGCTTTTTTTTGTATGCTAATGAAAAAAGTTAGAAAAATAATAAATTGGCAACAGATAAAATATACATAAAATATAAAATAGATACAAATAAGGTGTGTTCATAGTTTTTAGTTAAATTTATATTCGAAGATTTATCTTAAAAATATTGTTTTCATGTATTTTAAATGTATGTGAATAGATTGATAAGTACTAATAAGTATTTAACTGTGTTCCAATAAAAATGAATTTCTGTAATTACTTGACTATCTATATAATGTTTAACACGTAAACCTGTATTTAAATTTTAGTTTAGGTACCTATATAATGATTTATCTATTAACATTATACATAATATTTTTTTTTAAAAATTAACTTTATATGACAATTATAATAAAATGTTATAATATTTATTGAATAATTAACTTAAATAATACCAGGTGTTTGACAAAATATTGATATACCTATACATTTCTGTGAAAATGTAACTATTTTCTAAAGAGTTAATTTAAGTTTTTATCTAACTTTTTTTATTTTTTTTTTTAGGAGCATCTGTTCATTATGTGTTTGTAACTCGACGTTAGAGACGATCTGTTAAGAAAAACTCTTTAGGTAGGAACAATTTTAGTTTTTCTACAGATTGAGGAAGCAATTATTTTTTTAATAACGAATGTATATTTTTCGCTTTGAATATTTCCTTTCATGTGTATGTCTGTGGTCATTGGGTTGGAAATTTAATGTACAATCCGTATTAAGTTTTCAAAAATGTTGCAGTGTATTCTTGGGTTATAATAATAATAATAATAACAGTGAGTAGAGGGGTAAATATAAAAGCCAAATGTACACTTTATTGGTTCTATTATTATGTATCGAACCTAATGTCGTATTCAATTTTTTTCTTCAACTATGTCATAGTTATGAAAATGGTAGTACAGACTGAGCATTGAATTTGAAACTATTATAAGAGTATATAAGCTTAATAAATTATACTCATATCAACATATGTTTAGAAAAATACGTATTTAACGTTCTTGATTTTAGATAAATTAACTTTAAGCTGATATTTTGTACACGTAACTTTTCCCGCTATATTATCAGAAACCGACTCTCGATTGTCATTAAACGTATTTTAGTGTTTTCATTTACTACGTACCTAATCGAACGGTTTTGTCGCCATATCTATGTATAGTTTCCGCTGTAAACTTTTCACGCTCTTGCAAGTTTTCGTGACATTACATATACCATGCCTGTACCTATTATATCATTATATCGCACTGCCGTAATAATTTATGGACTAATTCAATAGTAGTAATTAATGTAATGTGTATCGTTGTGACTTTATATTGGTACCTATATGCGTATATTAGCGCATTATCATATATGTGTATATATACTCGAAACGACATGGTTTGTTGAGGTGGCAGAAGAAAATGATAAATAATTGCTTTTTATCGAGATTATAATATAATTTTGTTGGCGCGTTGACGGGAGCTGTGCAGAACGGTGTGGGGACGGGGCAGGGGGCATCGACTGAAACGTATTTCGGCCTTCTAAAAGGGACCGAAATAATTGATATTTATAAATTGCTCGGAGCTGAAAGCCATATTATGCCATAACATCCCGGCATGTCCTCTCTCCCGTTGGCCCTCGCTCTCTCGCACCCTCTCTCCGGTCACCGCGTCCGACTCCTCTCGCTCACTCCGCATCGTCATACCTACCTACTATACGAGGCGGCGGTGATTCGACCGCCACGCAACTCGCCGCTTTCGCCACACTGAGTACCCACCGTACACGCTTACATAATATTATATATATATATATATATATATATATGCGTGTGAGTGGGTGTATGTGTCCCAAGCGCGTTCAATATGCATTGCCCGTAAAGTTATTAATACTAATTTGCTCTAATCCGTGACACATTGTAAGCCCCTCGTCCAGCTCTCCCGGGGGAGCGCGCGGCGTCCCGAATCCGGATACTCCACCCGGTTCCAGCGCCGTGCACTCCACGTATTGCGTACACGTAATAATACGGCAGTTGCGCGTGCAAACCCACGTGCTCCCTACCCCCCTGACAAAAACCACCCCTCACCTGCGAGAACGGCGACCGAATCTCCCGGCCTCTCCGCCACTCCTCGCGCCAAACACTCGCCCACCCGGCGCTTTCCGCCGACTCCGACGTACGCGTCGCGGAGGCGAATCTCGAGGGATCGGCGCAAAGTTCTAGTAGCAGACCGGATGAAAATTTATCTTCTCTTGTTTCAGGATACTTTTGGCACATCACCGACATACACTATGACGTGAATTATGTAGCCACCGCCGATTACGCACAAAGTGAGTATTATACAATATTAGATTACAATATTATAGATATAAGTTTTTTGTTTTGTTTATTATTCAGTTTATTATAGTGTTTGAGTTGTAATCGCGAGTTGCGCGCGCAGCTGGACGCGACCGATTAGACCACGAGTGTCGTCGTATGGTGAAAACTTTTGCGAAACTCGTGCCGTTTGATGGCGAAAAATGTTGTCCGCGCATTACAAGCGTCTCGAGTCTATATCGATCGGCTTCTTGTGATATGATTAAATTGGGTGGCCCGGGGATGTCGTTCGGACACGAACCGAATATGCATTTCCCACCCGCAAGCCACCGCCGGTATCATAAACATTTTTTCCGACCCCGCCGAAAAGAGTGCCACAGAAAGATTGGACTAAACGCGAATAAAGTTTGATTCGGTTTTGTATACATGTGCATTATTCGTGGATGGCAGTAAAATGTGAGAAAAAATCTCGGGATCCATGTGATTGCCGTCTTTGATGAAATCAAACCAAAATTGTGGGTGAAGCCACATTTATATATATATATTTTACCCACACACACACACACGCGTGACTGGACGTTTTTCAGTGTGACTGGCATTGGTCTCTCGTAACCACCATCGCATCCCTCAGCGATACTCGGGCCCTGGGTTCGTTTCGTAAAGTTTTTAACCACATTTAATTTCGAAACAGCTAATTTTTAAAAGCAGTTTGTGAGAGTTTTATGTGGAGGTTTGGATGTTAACGATTTATAGCCGACATACATGTGTGCTACTACAGTTTTTAGATTTTTAGGCGCTATTTATTGTATTGTGTTATATGAAAACATAATATTTTAGGATTTTGGTTACGTTGATCGATGATTACAATAATCAAATGAGTAATTTTAGATAAGTTCTTAAATATTGTTATAAGGTAGTAGTGAACGAATACGGATATTGTCCTGTACGTAAATATTATAATTTTCCTTTGAGTTAATTTTATATAAATATTACATACAAGTATATATTATCTTTAAGGGTCTTAAATTTACAATTTTATAGTATAGCAACATAATATTTATTCAAAAAATTATTCTTAGTCAAAGCCAGGGTTCTTCATTGACCAAACGATCAAACTTTGTAGAGAGCAATTATTTCATATGATGTAGAGAGTGGATTTTTTCAGATAAAGGAAATACTCCATAAATTGTATTAACTAAACTTATAAATTTGCTTAGAAACGCTAAATAAAACATTTTCCGGTGGTCTGATAATCTGCTCAAACTAAGCTGGCTAATATAAGTGTAGTTATGAGAAAATAAATTTATATTTAAAAGAAAAGAAACAAAACACAAAACAATTATTTGTACCCACTCAATTATATGGTAATTGCAAGAAGTCGATAGATCCAACCTAATCTACTAATAATCAAGAATGGGTCTCACTAATGATGAGTAAATAGATTTTAAAGAAGCTGATAACATAAAATCACGTGTGATCCTCTGTAGGAATATAAGAAATTAAAAATCCTTACAATATATTTCCTGAAAGTGTTTCAGAACTAACTCCAGTACAAAATACGTTTTATAAAAATAAATGCCTGGTGCTTAATATAAATTTCAAATTATAATTTACCTTCATTGTCATCGATAAAATATTAATAGACGAATACCTCGTTATTACATTCAGACTAATGTAATAATATTTATGTTACAATAATATTCTCATTTCGAATTTCATTCATATTGAATGTCCTTTGATTATAACCGAACATTTACATTATTACTTTAATCAATTGCCCGTTTTGGTTAATTCAACTAAAACCAATTATTAATGACGTTTTGTACCATTTTTCACACCACAAATCGAATTAATAAAAACAAAACGAATTTACACTTGATGATAAACAATTAACTAATATTTGTATAATATTTCACAAACTTTTATTGCATAAAATATAATAATAAATACACATAATATAATTTGTCGAATATTATAATACACAAGATAACCCATTTATAAATAACTTTGTAAAATATTTACTATAGACACATGGAATCATATTGTATATTACACCAAAACTTTTTCAAGGTCATTTTTCTTCTGTTACTGTATAAACTAAAATAAATGTTTTTTGTTAATAAAAGTACAAATTTTTGTTAAATTGTTTGTAATTTGAATACATTTTAACAACTAAAATAATATATTTCTCTATTGACGATGACATATTATTATAATATAATATAGAAGTGATTCGTAAAAATTAAAGAACTAAAGTACAATATGGTATTTCTAATTTAGTATTATAATTCTTCGAAAGGTTTAAATTAGATAAAAATAATTTCCTTTATACACAAAAAAAATTTCCATTTTTGTGTACTATAAATGCGTGTGAAAATTAAACAGAGCAACATATGTATCATGTACTCGTATAGATTATTTTTCATAATATTATGGTACGCGTCACATATATATTCATCGAATTTTGGAATAGCAGTATCTTTAAAAAAAGTCTAAACCTACTTTTATATTTACATAAAATTACTATTACCAAAACGTTTCCAATTCTCGAACTACCTATGTATATTTATCTGTACTATAACTTCTTTTTCCAAACAAAGCGTTCAGACGAGACGAATTACAAACATCCGGGATTACTATACATACAGCATTTAGGATAAAGAATTCACATAGAATAGTATACACTACACAACGATGTGACATTTCAGTCATTTTTGTTACATGAATTACATTTATTACTTTATGTGTGTATATATATATACCCAATAAACATTTCTGTGTAAGCTGGAGTCGTTGTTGACTTTTAAATTATCGTGTAAAGTCGTACTTTAAATTGTTGGGAATGAAAAATAGTGTTGGTTGCGTATTTATCGAGCTAAGAACTGAAAATAAACGTGTTCGGGTTATGTTAAGTATCACCTTCTATTTCTCAAAAACAGTATAATTCTTACTCAAGACAAAAATATTCAAAGCTTTTTTGGGTGTCACATCACATTTCGTTTTGAATCGAAGAATAATAAAACCATATTATCTGTGTACGCTGGGGCTGGATACAGAATAAGGTTGTAACACGGGATGATTGGAGCACGTGTAATATATTCATTTCTACATTTTCTGTGTTTATAACTCCACAGTCAATACAAGAATGTCAACAAAAAATAACTTATATAATAGATTAACCAAAACGCCCATTGTTCTGATCAGAATCGTATATATTCATGTATATATTATATATGAATACATAAGATAAATACACGATAAATTATATCCCCTTATTGATACAGTTATATTATCATGTTTACCTCCTTTTTTTTTAATTGAAGGGAACAAAGTGTTTTGAATTTTATTTCTTATTAAAATACCATTAGTTTTGATTACAACAATTAATTTAGTTAGTATTAAATCGCAGTGTTTTCATGATATAAAAGTCGAAACATATACCTATCTCCTTAACTTGTTAGTCATTTTTTTAAACTTTTTTATCGAAGTTTTTTTCTATTCTACAAATACTATTTCAAAATATTTTAGATATTTATGACATAAACTCATACAATACTTGATTCACTTTTAAACTAGGAATATTAGGTATTTAAAATTGATAAAAGTGCATGTTACAATAGTCCTTGTATGGGTGTACGATTAGCGTACGTAGTTTGTTTGAAAATGAAGATTCAATATAAACATATTTCTTTGATCATTATAAGTCAATTTATTGATTCAAATAACATAATAAAATGCAAAAAGTTCATATCTTATCAGATATAAATCACAACATTACATACGCGTTACAATCGTACCAGTCTCCCCGTCCTATCGATAATAGGTTAGTTCAACATTTTAAACATTCTTTTGAATAACAATTATTTATAATGTATTATAAATTGTTCTCCAATGACGCCAAACAAATAATGATAAATTAACTTTCAGTGAGACGGTTACTCTTTAAGAACAATAAATTTAAAATGTATACACAGCCAATGGGACCTTAGAAACAGGGCTTTAAGCCAAGAAAATAATTGCAAACATCGATACTTTTTCGTTGGCGAATTTAACAATAGATTTATCTCAGCAATGCATTTGATTGAACCGCGAAAGTTTATTGAATAAGTACATTTTTTTTCACTGTAAGGGTAACTATATTTTTGATTAGCGGATTTGGGTTGACAAACCGTTGCGGTTATTTTATGTTTATAAAAGTTCGCCGGTTTCTCTAAATTTACTGGAGCGTTCCCACGGTGGTATGTAGTTTTTGAAACTTTTTGGTTTTTAATGGCCGTATATAATAATATATTATGTAAACAGAATCGTCTGGTAAGTTTGAAATCCTTTAATTTGTCGTGGGCGTATAATAATAGAGTTATTCTGCTCAAAGTTGATAAAATTGTTATCTATGTATTCATATAATATTTCTTTGAAGCTTTTGAAAAATTATTCGTCAACACTCATTCGAAAGACTTTTTTTTATGACACAAGAATACAATATTATTCACCTAACATTTATAGTATATTTCGATAATATTAAACGTATGGGTGTACCAAAAATAACATACATGTATCAGTATTTTTTATAATTATTATGACAATTTTGAATTACAATATTATATGATAAATAAAATAAAATTCATTACTCGTATAGTTATTGTTAATATAACATTTGCCGGTTGCTTATGTTAAACACTGTGTATTGTATCTTGACTGTCATGATTTGAAATAATGATAATATAAACTAAAAAATCGCGAACTGTTTGGATTTGCAGGTTGCAAGCGGTCGGCGGTCGATCAGGAACTGTTGGTCATGGAACGGCCCAGTCTGCCGTTCGGCGGCGGTAGACTGGGCGATTACGGGTGCGACTCGCCGTGGACGCTGGTCCAGTCTGCTGTGAAAGCGATGAAGGAGAAGCACGGGGACAACATCGAATTCGTGCTGTGGTCCGGGTAAGGTGTTTTGTTTGTTGTTCGCAGAGAACGAGGAAAACAATAATGACGATAGTAAAAAAAAAAAAAAAATAATAATAATAATAAAAACAAAGCCATTCCCTTTATCCTTTTCCGGTCCGCTCGACCACGGGACAGTTACGCGTATAATACGTAGGTATATATTTATAGGTACAACCCAAAGAGCGAAGGGTCGCCAAACAGAAGTTTAGAGTGGTTTCTACCCTTATCTCGGTCCACTGCTACTGATTGGCAAATTAAAAACGCCCCGTAAAGTGTTTTAGTTCTTACGGTCGTGCGTGGCAAAAAAAAAAAAATATAATATGTTTGTTCGTTGAATTCGTTTGTTGTTTATTTTTCTATGCTCTCCGTTTGGACTAACCCATCGGACACTCCCTATACTATACGGTGACCATAATTATTCAGCGTAATATGACTCAAGTCTCCTCTATGTCTATCATAATTTATACGAACAGTGCGAAGGCGACATTTTTTATGTACCCACACCAATATCGGTGGATATTGTCATCGAAGGTCCGGTGGTGATGTACAGAAATAAGCTGTATTTTAATATATGTATTCTTAACGTTTCTCTTATTTCCATACATTTTAAACGATTTTCAATTAGAAACTAAAGAATAAACAAGTGAGCTAAATTGTATTTAATATTATGTACGAATTACAATTATGCTGTGCCTAATTTGTACGAGTTCAGCGGAATCGATTTTACATAAATATTACGGACAGTAGTCGGTGAAATCGATGATCTAGGTTTTAGAAAACAGAATGCTTCTGCAGAATTAATAAATACCCTAACACATGTCTTCTCTGACTTCTCTACTTCTACGACACACAATGCACTATTGGATCGGCATCGAAACGTTCGATGGTGTGCATAAAACGCCACCTGGACGATTTTTTAATGTTCTCAATCTTAGCCCAACAACTACTCGCGATTTGTACGATACAATCGTTTTCAAAGAGGTGTTATTAATGGCGTGCAGCGGAAATAATCATAAAAAAAAAAATTTCGGGTTAATATTGTTGTTGAAAGTACTCGCACAACTAGTTACAGTTGAATGCATAAAACATAAACCTTTGCTTTGTTATGTTTTTAGACTGTGATTTGTGTAAACAAAACCAATTGCGTTCATATATTATTTTTGCAATGTTATCGTATTTTCTGTTTTTTTTTCTGTAGTCGGATCGATGAATATTGATAAATATTATTTCCAAAAATGAGTGTATTATTTGAACGAGATGAGACTATCTCGTAAATCGAACAAGTTTTTTTTCCTATTATATATTATTATAGTAAAATGTCAATGAAATATTATTCACATGCGAGTGTTGACAGTTATTAGAGGTATACAGTGTATTACAGTATGTAATATTTTAACATGATTATGGAAAGATGAATATAAACAACGTGCAACGGTTTAAATGAATGTGTGCTTACATTTGTACAATGGGATATTTTTCGGGAAAACACATGTTTCAATTGACTTATAAAATTGAAATTTATTGAGGTATATTTATGTTTTCAACATGTTATGAAAAAATTGTTAAAACCCATTGTAAATCATATTTCCTATATATTTTATACACAATGTACATCATACATAATATTACAAAAACACGCATGTGCTCTATATATTATTAATTATAATATCATGACAGTTGAAATCTTCATTTTGAACCCGAAAAAAAAAGAATAAATAACAACATAGTTTATTTTGCGACGAGTCTGTATAATAATTATATATACAGTTGAAAGTTTTGATCGATATGATATGACCCATAAATGTATGTCATTAGTTTTCCTGTGGCAAAAATACAATTAATACGTCTCTAATATTTGCACTGAATGATTAAAATATGTTATCATTACGGTTTATCAAAGTTATATGTCACTTGAAATATTTTAATAATAATGCTTTACCTTTTGAAACGTAATAATCAATCGAAGCGTAAAATATAATATAGTATTATAGTATTGCCATTCCTTAGCGTTGACAATTTTGAATAAAAAATATATCATCATTGTTTCTATGCTTTCTAGTTGAGCTCGGTCTAGTCAATACCTACAACATCAGTATTAAGATTTATCTTTATAGTTAATACTATTTATCTATAACATCTTATGCCGCCTACAACCACAGATGTATAGAATAAACCAGATTTCTAACTATGATAATACGTGAAGCAACCATCCACTATTTAAAAAAGAGTCCTAGGGAATAGGGATCTTATCACAACTATTTAATGCTGATAACTTGATAACATGGTTGATAATAAACATAGATCATTTTTATTAATATAAATTATTTATTGCTATCTCACAAACACGAGTGATAACGAACATTGGCCTCGATTAAAATGGCGGCCGGTAGTTTCAAAAAATTGCATAGGCTCTGTGCCGCAGTTACCAATCTAGTTTATTCTATATATCTGTGTCTACAACTGTAATTAATTATCTACGGAGATATTTTATTTTTATAAATATTTTATTGATGAATACAAGATGAGCAAAAACCATTCAATTATAATAATCTAATGGTACGTATTATAATATAGTAGCAACTTACAACCAATTTCGTATCTGCGACTACGGTGGATATAACTTGTTCTTAATATTGTAAAAAAAAAACCAAAGCGCATTATTAAACGTTTTAGTTGTTTTCCCAGAAACTACTACGTTTATTTTTAGCACAGGTTCACACGTCATGAACACACTTGGGACGGTCTTTCGTGCGCGGGGCATAATCACAAATAACCTGTAGCTTGTCTTAGTTCTTGTTTTTTTTTCCACACAATAACGCGTTTATCTCTTACCAGATGGTTATGGATTGTTTTTATAGATAAATTCCTATTAAATATAATCTTTTGTCTTCATCCGGATAATCATTCAGTCATCTAATCCCAAAATCCACAGGATTTGATCGGCTAGCTGGGCACGAAACATACTCTGATACCTATAGGGTGGAACAGTACCTATTATGCTGGCGTTTGGAGCGCATGTAACGTTACAGACCGTTGTACACGTCGCACGTTGCTCTAATAATATTATATTGTATACCTGCGCACAATGGCCGTACAGCCATATAGGTACCTACGCCGTGTTATTATATATTTTGGTGTTGCTATTCGTACACACGGACCAAGTAATTAGATTAAACGTACCACCGGAGTTGCGCACACCGCGGGATTATAATATACTCGGGTGCGTTTGAACACGTCGTATTCGACGACGTTATGCGCACCACTGTAATAACAACACTCCGCCGTAAAGTTTACGGATGTACACATATTATTAATTTATTAACAAGACCAAGAATATATATACGGGGCCGCGGTGACGGGTCATGCGGTCGGGCGTGGGCCGGAGAGGTAGGTAATCTTATATTACTCCTCGGGATACGGTGAATAGTGTCCACATGGGATAAGAGTTCACGTACACAAAACGACGACCTTATGAGATCGCATCTAATGTAAGGGATTACATACCCGAGTATAGGGTACAGGATATGGTACGTGTAATGGTACACGTATATAGGGCTATTTACGAGAATTTATTTGGCTCGTGTCCATCTCGCATCAACCGTCTCTATAGTAAAACTTATAATAATGTCCCTTGCGCGCTGGTTTCGACCGGTGACTGTATTAAAAAACTTTTCCGTTATTGTACATTTTCGATTAAAAGTTAAAAATGCGTCGCATCGTATTAATTCATAATAATATAGATTGTTATATTCTATCAAAAAGAGTACCCGTATAATATTATGGCTACAACATAAAATGTACACGGTGATTATTGATTTATAGGTTTTTGATATTTTAGAGTATAATTTTGCTCGGCTAATAGTAATTAATTGTGGGTGGTTTTTTTTTAATTATGTAAATGAGTACAACAATCTAGGTAAATAAGTCAACGGGTTTTAATTGACTACTCGTATGTAGTTGAAAACTTTAAAAATCTTCTCACATAAATAGTTAATTATATTAAATTGTATTATATAGTTTCAATACCATGATCTTAATTTTTATCATGTACATCGCTAACCACCGTCAATTATTGGAATAGTTTTCTTTAGACATCATCCAGATAAAAATGGTATATTTTTTTTTTGTAAATCTTTAGCTTCGCCGGCAGTGGCTATTATTTTTATACATTACATTTTAATCATTTATGCTAACCATTCGATTACAATAATATAGTGCGGACTGGGGAGGGACTTTAGGATTTATAACTATTTGTTTTTGTTTCTCTTGATGTATTTCTCTAATTTCTTAGGTTGATACTCCTAAGGAACATGAGGTTCATTCCACTGGTGGTTTTTTTTTTCTTGGTGTCATTGGTTCAAATGTCTATTTGTGTGTTGGGTGTGGCCGATTCTCAGTTAGTTAATCGTTTTATCTGTTTTTCTTAAAGTTCTAGATTGGGGAATGAGATTTATGCTTTGTTTTATTTCTTATGATTTAGTATTTAATTTTGACAAGTGATTTTGATATTCTGTGTGATCAGTAGTATATAATATTTGTACCCTTTGTTTAGGAATTTATTTATAAATGTCCTAACGTATAACGCATAAAAATTGAACAATTATAAATGGGGTTTACTCTTTAGCGATGAAATACTGTACAGTGATTCACCATCAGAATCAATGACTATAATCATTCATATATAAACAAAAATGGTAATTATATCATAACTAGTAAAGGAGTTAAAGCTTTTAGTTAATTGTATTTGTAAACCTTAAACAGTTAAAGGATCTACTAAAATAATTTAGATTTTTCTAGTTAATTTCAAAAAATGCATACGTGAATGGCATGTTTGTATATAACATCTATAACTTAGCTAAAACTAATTGATTTACCTAACATTTTTTGTTTTGAATAATTTTTGTTGAAATTGTATTGAATCAAAATAAACAAACAAACAATCCGTGACTAAATAGGTATTTAGTTTTCTTGTACGTATAATAAAATAACATAAATCG